TGGATATTGGCATCAGTCTGCCGTTACAGGCCATGACAATATAATATTCAATTTATCTTCAAAAGGATGAGGAATCAAATAAGACTGTTTACAGCATTTAACCATTTTACCATCTTTTGACGTGAAAAGAACTAAATAAAAGTCAAGCGATAGAGTACTTTTTATCGATTCCAATTTAACAGTAGGGCTAGGATACTCACCTTGAAGGACCATTATCCTTAAAAATTAAGTCTCTTTCTCAACCATGGAAATCTATCTGTACTGTCTTGCTTTATTTCCGTTTGTGTGTTTTTTATCAAAATAAGATAGTAGAAGAGTGTTGTGTCAGGCTTAGGACATGCAGCATTTAAAGAAGGATTTCATTAGTACATGGATTTGGGAAATGCTGCATAAATGATACTTCTTTGAGAGCTAGATAATATTCCTCTCCGGTACTCTGGGCATGTAATCAAGAAAAACCAGTCCCTGGCAAAGAACGTCATGCTAGGTAAAGTAGTTGGGCAGCAGAAACAGAGTCAGACCGTGGACAAGATGAATTGACAAATGGCTACAACCGGAGGCCTAAACACAGCAACACATATGAGGATGGGCTGTGTAAAAGAATAAGACCTCAAGGAGATCGATAGACACAGTGGCTGCCTCTGCCCAACAGGAACAATACTATAATTTGCAATGATAGATAGATAGGTGGTTGGATGTATAGATGGATGGGTGGGTGGTTGGATGGATGGATAGATGGATGGGTAGTATCTAAATAGATAGATAAAAGATAGATGATGAGAAAGAGAGAGAGAAGCTTGCATCATAACAAATCACATACTTCGTTAAACCATTGTCCTGTGAAACAACAGCTCCTTAAAGGAACTTTTAAGGGGAATTATGCGAAATTGTCCATTTCCTTCCTTATACCTCCCACAAAGGCAATGAAGGGCCTCCACAGAACCTCTAGATTTGCATAAAATGTTATCCTTATACAGGAATTGGGAGATGAGACAGTGTTCTGCTGATTGATCTTAAGCAAACCCCTTAGTTTTTGAACCTCTGTTTCCCTCTCTTTAAGAGGAAAAAGTTGGATTAAATGATCCTGTAGCCCTCTTCCAGCTTGACATTCTGGAAGGCTAGTTTCTTTTTGTGTGTGTCGATATGAGAAATATCTCTTCCAGATTGACAAAAAGCATCCCACACAGGCAACATAATCCATATGCTGATACTGAGGGTAATTCTTCATTGAGTGTTGAGAGACAAGCTCCTCACATCAGACCTGTGAACAGTCTCAGCTCCAACATGACTCTAGGTTGGGTCCCAGCTACCTGTATGCACTCACTCTTACCACAAACATTTCCTGGGCATCGCCTCTATGAAAGGATGTGCTGGGGTAAAACGGGGCTTTTAGAATGAATGAAGAGAAGAGGTAGATTTCATTGAACAGTGAGACCACAGGACTCTCATGGGATTAGACTCACCTTGGCTGACAGCACACCAAAGTACAGAGGACATTGGCCTCTGAGGCAAACATCCTGGGCTTAGATCCTCGGTCCATGGCTTCTCTATGACTTTAGGAAAGTTTCCTTAATTCTCCACTCCTCCATTTCTTCATATGTAAACTGGGAATGATGACGAGCTACCACTTGATTGGCTTTTATGAAGATAACGATGGTAAAACATGAAAGACGTTTGGAAGAGTGACTAGAACCCTACAACCAAAACATCAACAACAAAAACGCTGTCATAAAGTCATTTCTAACTCACAATGCCCTTGTAGGACAGGGCAGAACTGCCCATGTGGATTCTGAGACTGTAACTCTTTACCAGAATGGAAAGCCTCATCTTTCTCCTATGGAACAAATGGTTTCAAACTGCTGACTTTGCAGTTGGCAGCCCACCTTGTTACCCACTGTGCCAATAAAGCTAACTAATATGATTCCCAACCTAAGGCAAGACGCCTGTTCACAAGAACAGCATAGAAGTTAAATGCAGCCTCTGGGGACAGATGCCAGGATCCAGGGCTAGCTTAAATCCTTGCAGTTGAATTCATGAGCAAGTCAGCAAACTCACCAAAGGAAAATGAAATGGCAGAAAAACTGTAAAGCAGCCCAGTACCTCTAGCCCAGGAAGAACATAGTAAATGCTGTTGCTGTTGTTTTGTTGTGAGCGGCCATTGAGTCGGTTCCCACGCATCCTGACCCTTGGTAGTAGCATAAGCCACTGCCTAGCCCTGTATCATCCCCACAAGCCTCGCTCTGCTGGAGCTCTTTTTGTAGCCACTGGGCCAATCCATCTCCTTGAGGGTCTTCTTTTGTATGGACCTACTGACTGGCCGTTCCTAATCACAGGTCCAACGTAGCTAAGGCAAATCTCTGCAGCCTCGTTACTAAGGAACATTCTGGCTGTACTTCTTCCGAGACAGATTTCTTCATTCTCTGTCAGTCCATGGTGTACTTCACATTCTCCGTGAACACAATGATTTAAAGCCATCCATTCTTCTTCCATATTAGTGGTAACAGGAAGAACTCTTTCTTTCCAACAAGAATAAAGGTGGCATTTGAGCTGATCATGTATCCTGTGTTTTGTTACCGTGAGTCTGGGCTGAGTCTTGTTATTAACAGACTTAATCGTCTCTCTGCACATAAAGTCCTGCTCTCCTCCATTTTGTCCCCCTCAACTTCTACAGCCAACAGAACGCTCACAAAACAAAACACAACTGTCTAAATATATGATGATAGTACCTGCAACACAGCTGCAGGGGGGGTTCACAAAGTACATGAAAATAGAATTAAAAGATAATGTAAGGTTTCCATGAATGTTTCAAAGCCCCTCATACACACACACATATTTAATAGATGTGTTAAATATGTTCATACAGAATATACATATCTTTTGTGTATCTCTAGAGTTGTTGTTTGTGTTTTCCCATGAAATTCTGCTGTTCCCAACCTTCCATGAGTGCCTGCTTCTCTCAGGCTAAAGCCTATACCATTTAACTTGGCTTTTAAAGGCCCCTGCTACCTAGACACAAGAACCCACTGCCTCCTTGAGCCAACTGTATCTTCCTCCGAAGGCTAATAGAATGTACATATCAGGACAGATTTCTACCTTCATCCATATTTTCTGTGACTTTCAAAGTTTGAAATCAGGTCATTTCTTATATCCCACATGTCTCTTAAATTCTGCCTTCTCCTGGTGCCTTTTTTAATGTACATACTACCTCGAAGCCCTGGGAACACAATGGTTGAGCAGTTCAAATCCACCAGTCACTTCACAAGTGAAAGACGTAGCAGTCTGTTTCTGTAAAGATGAACCTAATCCAAAACTGAAACCACTGTTATCAAGTTGATTCCAACTCAGAGCAATCCTGGAGGACACAGCAAACCTGCTCCACAGAGTTGCTGAGACAGTAAATCTTCATGAGAATAGACGGCCTCATCTTTCTCTCACAGAGTGGCTAGTGGCTTTGAACTGCCAACCTTGTAGACACTAACACAATGTTAACTCCCGCACCAACAGGGAAACTGCTCTGAAGGACAGCACTACTCTGTCAGATAGGGTCACTAGCAATTATAATCAACTCAATGACAATGGGTTTATGTTTATTTTTAACCCCACACTAGGCTATTAGTTCTTTGACTGCTTATACCCAAGCCACCTGAATCACCCACTGCTCACTTCCAGGGGCACATGCACGTGTGTGTGTCTTATATTCATTCCATGTAGGTCTTTGGTTTGGTCTCACAAGCAACGACTGTCTTCTTTACTTCTTTGTATCTCTCTCAATCCCACCAAGTGACACCACCCTTGTTCTCATTTAGAGTTTCACATAAAATAGAGATCCATTGGAGAGTCAAGACCTTAGAAAATGAACAGGGTTAAAACAGCCTACATATTTTTATTTCAATCATATTGTCAACCAGTCTTTTTGAGGCACTGCTCTAGCTATGCTTAATGTAACATTTGCTTACAGAGAAATAAAGGATAAAATAATTACCATCTAGGAATTTAAATTTCAATGGAAAACTAAAGCTAACCTAAAATATAAAATAAAAGCAGTGCAATATTTATCTCACATGGTTCCTATTTCAGCTCAGAATAAGGGAAGAAATGGGTGCATAGATATGGGGGAGAAAAAGGGATGGCTTCATGAACAACAACAGGGAGTTCAATCCTCATGGCCCTGGATCACAGTGCACCCAAAGTGATCACATCAACACTTGTAATCTCATCCCTCCGAAGATCAGCTCCAAAACTAAACTCAGAATTTTCACTGGGAACCTGGAGACATGATGAGCTAGCCTCTAGGTTGTTTTTGTTTTATTTTAATAATATTTTGTAGTTTTAGTGATAATTTACACAGCAAGTGAGGTTCCTTTTTGACAATTTCTACACATACTGTTCAGTGGCATTGGTCCATTTTTTTTAATGAGGTGTCAACATTCTCATTTTTTCCATTCTGGTTGTTTCATTTCCAATCATCTAACTTCCCTGCCCTGCCTCTTACCTTCTCATCTTTGTTTTAGGGTAGCTGTTGGCTGTTCCGTCTTACATAGATGAGTTTTGCTTTAAAGAACATCAGTAGTCATGAGTGGATCTGTGTTGTAACAGAATTGTGACCCTCAGGAATGGTTTTAGTTCAAAGTTAAAAGAATATCTCAAGGCAGTGGTCTCAGGAGTTTGTCTAGTCTCAACTGGCCCAATAAGTCTGGCCTTTTGTAAGATTTCCTATATTTTTCTCTCATTGTATCTGGGACTATCTATTGTGCCCCTGGTTAAAATAGTCATTAATGGTAGCTGGGCACCAGCTAGTTCTTCTGGTCACCCAGTAGGCAAGAGATCATTGTTCGTGTAGAATTTGCCTCTTGTTCATAGCTACCAATATTTTAGAATTAGGTATGTCTAGTAGTCCACGTATGATTCTGAGGTCCTCCCTTGTCTATCCCTGACAGACTGAAATTTTTGCACCTCTTATATCCTTGACTTAACTTCTATCTCTGCCTTCTTCTTAACAGATTGGTTATTGGAATGAAGATGATAAGTTTGTTCCTGCAGCCACAGATTCTCAAGCAGGAGGTGATAATTCAAGTGTTCAGAACAGAACATACATCGTCACTACAATCCTAGTGAGTGCTCAGTCCCTTTATCGGGGATAACTGGGATTCAAGCTACACCAGCACAGGGATTTCCCCCCAGGAGCTAAAGCTGACCATTGCTCTTGCCATAACTATATTGTAGGCAGAAAGAGGCAGTAAACAATATTTTGTAGTTTTAGTGATAATTACCCTCTTTCAAGCCATAGTTTCCCCACGTGTGAGGGACAGTTATGGTGGCTTTCATACTCCACGTGCCTTTGGTAGAGGCATTTTCAAAGGAAATTTCTTAAAGTCCAGTAAACAAAATGGGTCTAAGAGGAGTTACTATGATTTCCAGTGATTAATAGTGAAAATCTGGGCACAAATTGTGCCATGATAGTTGTGTCAAGGGTACCGCTAGAAAGTAAAGAGCTCTTAGAACCAGATTCCAAAAGCTATGACGCAGGCAATATTTTAATAAAGTTGTTTCTTTAACCCAAGAAGCTTGTCACTGGGGGAGGTGGGGAGAGGTGAGGAGGCAAAAATTCAGAAGGTGTATTAGGGGTTAAGAGAACGTAGAGGAGGTTAATGTTGATGTCATGGTCATTTTCTGTGCCAAAGATTTCCTGGGGAAACCCGTAACCCACATCCTCTGCCTCTTCCTTTCTCTACCAGGAAGACCCTTATGTGATGCTCAAGAAGAATGCCAACCAGTTTGAGGGCAATGACCGCTATGAGGGCTACTGTGTGGAGTTGGCAGCAGAAATTGCAAAGCATGTGGGCTACTCCTACCGTCTTGAGATTGTCAGTGATGGCAAATATGGAGCTCGAGACCCTGACAGCAAGGCTTGGAATGGCATGGTGGGAGAGCTGGTCTATGGAGTAAGTTAACCGTAGTGTGAGCTATTGGAGGGAAGAGACAATATGGTTAAATTATCATCGGGCTTCTTCAGCAGCTCTTTAGAGGTTATGATTTGTACATCACATCACATTTACACAAAACTTCACATAATGGAGAATAAATACATCAGATCTCACAATGGAGGACAACTACACAATACTGAGGATCACGGAGTAGCCGCGTTGGCATATTCTAGGGAACACCATGTAATCCATGACACCTATTAAATGACATAATTGAATATCATTATTTCTGAAGAAAAGAATGAGCCCCCAATCCAATAGACATTGGCACTGTTTCCCATCTCCCTCAGGCCCACTCTGATCAGTCTTGTGATAGTTGATCGCTGTCCCTGCAGGTGACAGCATAACCTTCCAGATTCACTTTTTCATGGCAGAATGCTGAGCTGTCACTTTACTGCTCAACAGCCTTTTCTGGTTCCCTCATTACAAATGTTTATCGCTTTATTAGAGGCACCCTGTAGCCAACCTCACATTCTAAGTCTCTTTTCTCAATAGTCTCTTGTATCGATTTCAGCCAAACTATTCACTTTCGGTTTTTCTAGAGTGCCACCTTCCATTATTTACCTATCTCAGGCTTCCTCTAAAACCAGCATTAAAAGTTAGTTCTTCCAAGAAGCTGTTTCTTTTCCCCCTGCATGGGCTCACCCTTTTAAACTGTGCTCACCTTCACCTGACATTTGATTTTTTTTTTATTCTGCTTCTTTTATATTCCAAGCATACTCTGCCTTGTTTGATGATTCCCATGTTCTGCATCTTTAAATCTCTCACCACACTTAAACCAGTGCTAATTGCAGTGAACTGCTCCACAGATGGAAGAAGTTTGGAGATGCCACTGAATACCCAGCATTATTTTAGGGAGTTAGAAAAGTGGTTTTGGGAAGCAAAAGATGTGATCCCTACCCAGAAAATCTTCACATTATGTAGGGTAGTGAAGATAAAAAGACACAATTTTAAAAATAAATAAATAACATAGAATCTAGGAGTGTAAATTATGTCCCAGGCAAGAGACTAACTATGAGTTTATCTGACCGTCAAGATGGATGGGAAACTTGGAAGAAAAAAAAATGAGCCACTTCAAATAAAAGGTGTAAAAGGTGGCCTAGGCATTTCTAAAGAGCATACAAATAACCTAGTGCTGTACTGATTGACGTGTGGGAAGAGAGTGAGAAACATTAATTTCCGAGAAGTCTTGCATTGAGTCGTTAGTGTGGTTTTCAGGATAAAATGAACAAGGGGAACAGTGTGAGCTGATTTATTGGGTAGTGGGAGAGCATGAAAACACTTGAGTAGAGGAATGGCAAAGGCAATGGAAGAAGAAGCAGGCAATCCCACTCTGGACAGAGACTGCCATGGTTTCACTCACAGCATGTGATGACTTTAGCCTGGGTCTTCAAATGGACGGATTTTGAGTTCAAGGTCAGGATGAAGCTACCCTTTAGAAAAGTTTTAAGTCTCATTCTCTCCCATCAGTGGAGTTGTGAGGGCCTGAAGAGCCATATAAAGGAGCCGGATGATTCCCAAAGAAAGAGATGAACTGAAGACAACCTTCCCCCAAAGGGGCGGCTTTAGAGCTGCTCTGAGGAGGTGGTTAATGAGTTGAGGGGTAGGCAGTGCCCCTCTATTCCCTTTTTATTCCCTTCAACTACTTCTTACTTTGGCTCTATTGACAAAAAATAGTCACTTGGGTGGTTAAGGCTGCATCTGGAGGCTGGTTTCCATGGGAACCTGGGCCAGACTCTTAAGGTCATCCCCATGGCAACAGCTATGAACTTTTCCCCTCAGACAGCATCTGTCTTTCACCTCTACCCATTGTAATTTGGTTCTGTTAGTGAAAGATTCATCATCCAGGCAGAACAAAGCTATGACCATCATGAGGACAAGCCTCTCAATAGCCAGCCGTCACTGGCGGCTCAGGAGCTGAACACGCCTGAGTTACTGGTGCATGCCTCAGCTGCTCTGAACCATTGCCTTCCCTCCCCCAAGCGTGTCCTCTGCCCAGGAAAACCCGTCCTCTGAAGACTCCAGGCTAGGCCCACTTTGATGGCTCTCACTTGAGTTTCAATTTGGCTTCCCATCTCTATTTCCACAAGGAAGACTAGAGGAATAGTATTTCTCAGAAAGCCTCTAATCTATTCTTTCAGAGCCATTAAAATCACTCAGTGTCAACCAGGACCTCTTTTATCCTTTTTTTCTCTCTTGTTCCTATCAACAGGGGCAATAACAACACTTCAGAATCTACTATGTCAGGAAATTGTTCACCCAAAACATTTCACCCGGTTACTGTAACAATCCCACAAGCGGGTATGGTTATTACCCACGGTTCACAGGCAAGCGCCCTGACGCCCTGGAAGTTTAGGTGACGTGACAAAAGATGTGAAGCCCTGCCTGTTTCACTCCACACGGTAGATTCTGAACTGTCGGGTAAACTGCTTCTGTATAATCACGTCCTCCAAGAACAACTCACAATCCCCAGGAAGTGGAGGTGACAGTATCTATAGTGGCTTCAGTCACAGATGCCACACACTGCAAGTGACATTGCGACTTTGTGCATGGGTCTTGTCTTTCTGTCTTACTCAGAATTGGCTTTTCTGCTTTTCCTTTGTCTCAATGAAGTAGAATGAGCATGAACTTGAAACCAGCTATCTCGATTTGCATTCTGATCCTGTCAATCACTGGCTACGTGACTCCTTGAAAGCCACTGAGCTCGTTGGAGGGGAGGAGGGAAAGGAGTGGAACACAGGGCCAGTGAATCCTTGTTCACTGGGGCTTAGAACAGATCTCCACTCCGCATTATTTTATTCACTTTGTTCTCCTTATATCACATCCAAACTAGACACTGTTTTCCTAGGATTGTTTCTAGACATTATATATTTTGTTTGGGCATCTCTAGGTTAGTGGCTCTTAAAGTAAGTGTGTGTGTGTGTGTGTGTGTGTGTGTGTGTGTGTGTGT